GTACAAGGCCAGTGATATAACGTGTTGCTCCTTAAGGGCCTTAAGCTCACCACATGACACCCTCTGCAATAGAAGCCCCTGGTCCACTCTGTTTTCTGTATCCATGGTAACAATGCAGCTTGTCAACGTACTCCACATCCACCGTTTTGCAAAACTCCAGCCATCTTTTTCAGTAGTCAGGAGTTTGCTGAGGGGGAGCCCTGGGAAGGGGGCCTGGGCCCACACAACCCCAAGCCATTCTCCTGGCCTCCTACCTGGGGGACGCTGGCAGTGGCCTCAGGCACTGGCCCTGCCTCCTGACCTTGGCCTTCCTATCACAGGTGCATGCAGCAGCATCCTCGGACTTTGAGGAGGAACCCACAGCTGAAGAAGGTCAGCGGGTTGGAGATGCAGCACAGGGAGCTCTCTCTGGGGAGGCCCCGTACACCCAACTCTCCACAAAGTGACCACGGGAACCCCGGGGAGTGGAGCCTGGATCCCTGCAGGTGGCAAGGGTGGGGCGGGAATTAACGAGGCTCTCACCTGTTTGTGTTCACAGGCTGTGGAACTCCGCCTTCACACTTGAGTTGGCCTAACTCACCTGAGTCCTGACTCAGTACCTAGATGGTGGGAGCCATGGCCGTGAACCTGTTACAAGATTGGTGCAAGGGGGTGGACCTGGACCCCAGAAAGGCCCTGCTGATCGTGGGGATCCCCACAGAGTGCAGTGAGGAAGAGATTAGGGAGACTATAAAGGCAAACTTAGAGCCACTGTGCTCCTACACGGTGCTGGGCCAAATTTTCAGGAAGGAAGACAATGCCAAGGCTGTCTTTGTCCAGCTGACGGAGCCCGTCAACTACGCTGTGATGCCCACTCACATCCTGGGCAGAGGGGGCATCTGGGAGGTGGTGGTGAAGCCCCGCAGGGCAGACAATGAGTTCCTCAGTAGGCTGAACAGCTTCCTGAAAGATGAGGGCAGGCGGCTGGTAGATGTGGCCCAAATCCTGGAGTTTAGCACCTCACGTGCCACCGAGGGCAGGAAGCCTCAGGTCCAGGAGCCTGGGGTCGTGGGCCCAGCAGCAGCACCGAGTCTGCCACCCCCGAAAGAAGGCATGTGGTACCGAAAACTGAAAGTGTTTTCGGGAAACGCTTCGCCTGTGCCCGGTGAGGAGCCCTTTGATCTCTGGCTGGAGCAGGCAACTGAGATGATGCAGCTGTGGCAGGTGTCCGAAGTGGAGAAGCGGCGGCGGCTGCTGGAGAGCCTGCGTGGCCCTGCACTGTCCATCCTGTGTGTGCTGCGGGCCAACAGCAACGTCGTGACAGTGCAGCAGAGCCTGGAGGCCCTGAAGCTGATATTTGGCACCAAGGAGGACTCTCGTACCTCTCAGCTCCACCTCAGGCAGGCCTTCCAGGAGTCAGGGGAGAAGCTGTCTGCCTTCCTGATCCGCTTGGAGCCCCTGCTGCAGAAGGCAGTGCAGCACAGCACTACGTGCGTCCACGGTGCCGACACGATGCGCCTGAAGCACGTCCTGGCGAAGGCCACCCTGCCTCCTTCGCTCCGTGGCAAGCTGGACATCCTGAATGAGCACAACTGCGCCCCCACCTTCCTGGAGCTGATGAAACTTGTCCGCGACGAAGAGGAGTGGGAGACGACCATGCTGGTGACCAAACGCAAGAGCGGGCAAGTGAGAGATGGTCAGGGGGGCTCCACCAGACAGGTGGCAGTGGAAGTCCATGTCCCGCCCCCACAGGCCCACCTCATGCCAGCAGGGCCTTCCATGGATCGTAGCACCCAGACTGGGCAGGAAGAGGCTTCCCCGTCAGAGAAGCGTAGGCGCCTGTCATGCTGCTGTGCCAGCGAGGATCTCAGCCAGGTCATCAAGGTTGAGAGCGAGTCCCCAGATGATGGAGTTCAGTCAGGTGCAGTGGAAGAGTCGGGAAATGGGGGAGGGGCTGGGGCTGTGAGCCACCCCAAGCCCTAAGCAACATGGGCTCAGAACATCCGGTCACCCCTTCTTGTAGACAGCGGAAGAAGGGGAGGCCCAGGAAGGCAGCACAGGATGACAGTGAAGGCAGGTCTAAGCCCCGTTGCCTAGTGGGAAGGGACTCCACTGACCAATCCACACGCAGTTCTGGGAGGTCTGTGACCAGGGAAGGAAAGAGGAAGGGCCTAAGACCTCCCAACAGGTGGAGGGCTGGAGCCTCAAGCAAGGAGTCCAACTCGGGGGCTGAAGAGGGTGTGGCTGGGGACTCAGGACAGGGACTTGGCCCCTTTTCTGGGCCAACCCCTACTGTCCACCCTGTGGCCTTTGAGTGGGAGATGACCACCAGCCCCCAGGCCACAAGGGTCCAGGAGGAAACTTACTGGAAGTCACCCCAGGCCACAGTGGGACCCCCACTGGCACAAGGGGCCAGGGCGAGGACCAGAAAGAGGGAGCACCGCAACCAGGAAGGGATGCTGCGCAGGGGAGACCGCAGGGTGCAACCCATTTTCAGGATGATCTACACTGCCCTGGGGGAGCCACATGAAGGTAGCACCCTGGAACCCCTGCGCCCCTGAGGGCAGCAGGCAGCCAGAGGCCATCGAAGGCTCACCTTGTCCTGGCCTGTAGCCTGGAGGGCCAGTCCATGCAAGGGCAGCTGTGGGCGGGAGTGGGAGGAGGACTAGGAGAAGCAGAGGCAGGAGGCAAAATGGGAAGATGAGAATTTGGAGGAGGAGGAGAAATGGGAAGAGAAGCGGGGGTGGGGGTGGGCGTTCTCCTTGTGTTTGTTCAGGGCCTCTCCAGGCAGGAGGGAGCAGGCGAGAACCTGGAGTCAGCTAGCCAACCAGCCAACACCCAGGCCACTGCCTGGTCTGGGACGCATTAAAGGGAGGTGCACATGTCCAGGAAACCAGCTGTCTGGAACTTCCAAGAGAGGGACCCCTTCCCTGCCCCTTGGGGCAGGCTGCTCCCTGCTCTGGAAAGCCCTCCCTTATTTCTGTAGGCCCTGTAGTTACCTGCTTATCGCAGCCATCTGTTGCTTGTTCTCGTGGAGGTGTGTGTGTTCTCCCCCAAGCAGTTCCTCCCTGGAAACCCCAGCCCAGACCCTGAAGACAGCGGGAAGGTCAGCCACGGGAGTGGAGCCTCTCACCCTGCCGGCCACCGTGGGAAGGAAGGACGGACCAGGGACCGGGAGGGCTGCGGGGAACCCTCGGGTGCAGTGCTTGGAGCCCCACCTCCACACTTGAGGTTGTTTCTCACTCAGTTTCCTTGGCATGGTGACATGTTCTTTGCTGTATTCCAGTGTCCTGTCACTCCCGTGGGGCCACAGGGCAGGGACATGCCTATGTGGGGGGCTGGGAAGGGGTGCCACCCAAGTGAGTGAATGTTGTCAGAGTCCATCATCCCCCAGGAGGTGGGGCCTGGAGCAGGGGGAGGTGGCAGGGAGAGCGCCTCAGTGTGGGGAGTGGCTGAAGCTCCTGGTTAGAGAACCCAGGGGGAGGGGTCTAGGTCCCATATGCTGTCATACCCTTCCCTTCAATGGTTCCAGTTGAATATTTCTGTTCAATAAATCTTGTTCACTGTTTCCTCTGAGTGTTGCCTCTGCTATAGGAGTGGAGGGGAGGCCTGTTGGGGACAGGGGAGGCCATGGGTACCCTGACCCTAGTGATCTCACTGGGGTGGGAATGGGTCCGCAACCTATAGTGAGCTGGGACTGAGGATCTAAGTGTGTGGGGTGCCCACTGTGAGACAGGACAGGACAGGCTTCCTTAGCACTGGCAGAAAGGCAGGAAGAGTGGCTCAGCACCCTGTGTCCTTCCCACGGTTCCAGAGGGGGCACGAGGCCCTGCTCCCCAGCCAGCTCTGAGGAGCCCCTATTGATACTTGGGACCAGGCAGGAGATGGCAGGCTGAAGGGTACAATGGCCCCTGGGCACGAAAGGTTAGGCTCTGGCCCCACTGACCTTTGATGCCCCCCTGAGGAACCCCTGGTAGAGGGTCCTCCTGGCATGGGAAACCCCTTCCAAGCATGGTGGCCCATGGGGCACTTCTGGGAAGCATGGTGAGGAATGAGAGAGGAACAAGCAATGGTCTCCATCTTCTGGAACTGAGCACCCAGCCCATTGTAGTGGGGACCTTTCAGAGGCAGGAACAGACACAGGTCAACAACAGCAGAGAGAAGCAGATGCATTCATAAGACTGCTAAACCAACATGAAAAAAGCCTACTCTGTACTCAGTGGAAGGTGGAGCTGCAGTATTTTCCTGCCACAAAAGTGTTCTCCTTTCCCACTGACAGATGAGGGGCAGCCATGTTCACGGCTGTACAAGGCCGCCCAGTTGGTAGGTGGCCCCAACGCTCACACTCTTCCAACACATTGGTTCCCCAGGTGGGAAAAGCTGCCTTTGCAGTGGAGGAGTTAGGAGGAGGCTCCTGGCCACAGACCAGCCAGCCTGGGTGTGTTGTGCAGACACTGCACCTAGCCACAGCAGGAGTTAGGAGGAGGCTCCTGGCCACAGACCAGCCAGCCTGGGTGTGTTGTGCAGACTGCAAGCGGGATGAGGTTGGCTTGTGAAGGCAGACTGCCACTGTGGGACCTGGTCTGGGACCTCAGCACCTGGTGACCCACCAAATCCCAGCTTGCAGCTCTCCTCCTCCCGGGTGGTTTCTCTTTGCCAGCTTCGCCCGTCTTTCCCTCCAGACGCCATTTTGCAGGTGGGCGGCCA